CCCAGCCGCGAGCAGATGAAGCTGGAGCTGCAGAATGGCTCCTCTCACATCACCATACACCTCACCTGGAGCTTSCAGAGGTACCCCCAGCATGGCATGGGGGGGCCAGCCCTGCCTGCACCCCCTCTCTGCCCACACTGAGTCTCTCCTGCCCACAGGGACCTGGGCAAGGGCGGCACGGTGGAGCACGCCTACGGCAAACACACCACAGACCTGGCGCCTGGCTCGACCCAGCGCCTGCAGCTGGCCCAGCTGCTCGAAGGCACCCGGGATGAGCCTGTGTGAGTGTCCCCAGCGGGGAAACTGCACCCCTGTGCTCAGTGGGACAGTGACCCCCCCCTCCTCACCCCACTTTCTTGCAGGCAATTGCCCAAACTCTTCCCCAAATACATCCGGGCACCCAATGGCCTCGAAGCYGAACCTGTTCAGCAGCTGCTGCCAGGTAAGTCTCAACATGTCCCCTGTTCTGACCCCAAAAATCAGCCCTGGGTGCCACCTCTCTGAAGACAGGGAGGATGTGAGTCCCAGTGTTCCACTCAAAAATCAGCACTGGGAGCACCAGTGGTTGTGCTGGGCCCTGACAATGCCACCCTTCTGCAAACGGGGAGGACGTGAGTCCCACCATATCACCCCGCTGCAGCCAGTGAGGTCATGAGCCCCGCTTGAGCCCCCCAAAAAACATCATCCTTAGAGCACGGCAGCCACTGTGCTGTGCCCTGATGGTGTCACCCTCYCCAGATGACGAGGACAGCTACCTGGACGTGGAGGTGCAGCTGAAACGGCAGCGCAGGGGCTCTGGCCGAGGCACCAGCTTYGTGGAGTGGTGGGTGGTGAGGCTGAAGGATGCCCCTCCTGATGACAGCCACATCCTGGGGATGGTCATCTTCAACGACAAAGTCAGCCCGCCCAGCCTGGGCTTCCTGGCCGGCTACGGGTGCGTGGAGGGTGCCAGGGCGGGGGGATCTGGAGGGGGTGGGTGGTGGGATCCAGGATCCACAATGTGCCCCCCACATGTGCAGGATCATGGGGCTCTACGTGTCCATCGTGCTGGTGATCGGCAAGTTCGTGCGGGGCTTCTTCAGCGAGATCTCACACTCCATCATGTTCGAGGAGCTGCCCTACGTGGATCGGATCCTGAAGCTGTGCCAGGACATCTTCCTGGTGCGGGAGACGGGCGAGCTGGAGCTGGAGGAGGAGCTCTACGCCAAGCTCATCTTCCTCTACCGCTCGCCCGAGACCATGATCAAGTGGACCCGAGAGAAGGAGTAAGGGGAAGGGGCTGCAGCCCCCCCTGCCAGGGACATCACCGCCAATGCCTTAAGCAGCCCCCCCGGTTTGGGCCGCGTGCCGCCCCGGGAGCAGTGGGCTGTGGGCCCAGGGACGATGTTTTGCTGGATGTTTTTCTGGATGTTTTTCTTATGTTGCTTKGAAGCCGTCCGACCTGCGCAGACCACGTTGTGCCTTGCCGGGGTGGGGCACAGGGGCTGGCCCCCTCCTCTCACTGGGCAGCCCTGGTTGCCAAGTGGGTGTGGGGGGTCGGGAGCCAGCCCGTGTCCCTTCCCTGCCAGCCCCAGCCCTGTTCCAGAACCAGGTTGAACTCAAAAGCAATAGCCCCTCCCCAGCKCCAGGATGGGGGTTCTGGGTTGTGGCCCCCCAAGTTTGGGGGGGTCTGGCAGCCCCAGTTGGACTTTAGACACTTGTGACTTTGGGTTTGTTTTTTTTTTTTTTTTTATTAATTCAAATGGTTTATTTATACAGATATTGAATAAAACAAACTTGAGGCCTCCCTGGCTGACAGGCAGCTGGGGCAGGGACTGGGGTGGGGACCAGGGCCCTGCACCCCTAACCCCCAAAAAATGGGGGGTGGGGGCTTTCACTGCCCTCAGCTGTAACACAGTTGGGGTGTAAAAGCACCTGCCTGGGTGCCAGGAGTCCTCACCAACCACTGGGGTATCCCTGAGGGGTGGCACCTGCCCCAGCAGTGCCACAGTGGGATGGGGRTGTGTCCCCTGCTGTCCCCAAGCCCTTCAGCTCTGGCTGGGCTCCTGGTACTCCTGGTTCTGCTCCATCTCAGCCCTGCAAGGGATGGACACTGGATGGACATGGCCTTGGGGACCGAGCAGATGGGGACGGGACCCCCAGGCCCGGTACCTGCGGATCCTGCGCTGGCCCTCGGCGCGCACGTAGCGTGGCAATGTTTCAAGGGGGCCCTGCAAGAGAGGGGCCGTGAGCCTGGGACCCCCCTAACCCCCCCCCCAGAGCCACCCCCTGCACCCCAAAGCCTCACCAGCTCCTTGAAGGTGAGGCGGCAGCTGTAGCACAGCAGGGGGATGTAGGCAGCCTTGCTCTCAGCCCTGAGGGACGGACAAGGACAGGGAGAGGGATCCTCGGTGTGGTGGCCTGGGAGCGGGTGTGGGATGTGGCAATCCCCCCTGCCCCTGTACTCACCCCGCTGCTGGCTCCTCAAAGATCAGTGTGGGCTCCAGAGCCARCTCCTCCTCTGCAAGAGCCAGGGGGTCACCGGGGGCTGCTCCCCAAATGCCCCGAGCCCCCCCTGCCCTCCCCACTCACCGCCCTCGATGTCCAGCCCGCAGAGGCAGAGGAGGCAGCGCTGGGACTCACTGCTGGCCTTGGCTGGCTCCGGGCTCAGCTTCTCCCCGGTCCTGCAGCCAACACGGGTGAGAGTGGGTGCACCCCAACCCCCCACATCCCCTGTACCCCACACGGCCCCCCTGTACCCCACACGGCCCCCCTGTACCTGTACACGGTGCTGATGGTGGCCGGGAACTCCTCCTGCAGCCCCAGCAAGAAGCGCTCGATCAGCTGGTGGATGCTGAGCTTCTCCCGGCGCTGTGGAACCGAAAGCGAGGACTGCAGGGTCCTGTCCCCACCATGGGGACACAGAGCTTGGCATCCCCACCACGGGACCCCCCTACCTTGGTGAACAGGGGTGGCACGATGACCGTGGGGACGCCGAAGAAGTGGTTGTAGAAGGCGATCTCCTTGGCCGTGTAGTCCCGCATGGGCCTCACCACCATCACATCGCCGTGGCGCTGGTCCCTGAAGCCCTGTGGGTGCAGGGCTGCCAGGGGACTGTGCCACCAGCAAGCCACCCCCCTGTGGCACTGTGTCACCCCTGGGGTGCGGGTGACATCCCCAGCTCACCGTGTCCACAGCAAGGAAGGCGCCGCGCCCCAGGGACAGGTTGGTGAGGAGCTTGATGGCCACACGCGTGAGGCTCTCGCCCGTCATCACCTTGGTGTAGCCCCTGTCCCGGGCTGTCTGCACGATCAGGTGGGTCCTGGGGACGAGGTGACACCAGCTCAGAGCTGCCACCCGCGGCTGGTGCCAGCGCCAGGCAGGGTCAGTGCCTCACCGCAGCATCTGCAGCAGCTCCTCCCGCGCTGTCGCCGTCCCCGCCGCCTCGAAGGCGCGCAGCAGCTCCCGGCTCCGGGCAGGATCAGGCAGCCGGGGGGTGCCCGGGGGTCCTGCCGGCCTGTCCTGGGTGCTGTGACCAGGCACAGAGGTGCCACCGTCCCCATCCTGCCGCTGCTGCTGGATGAAGCTGTCCACAGCCTCCTTGTAGGAAGGGCCRGCCGTGCTGGACGGGCTGGAGCACTCTGGTCCTGGCTGTAGGATGGATGGGGGCAGCTCCAGGGCCTGTGGGGCAGAGATGGACATAGGGGGGAGTTGGGGTGTCCAGGTGTGTCCCCCACCTCAGCACCTGTCCCCATGTCACCCCAATACCTCCTCCAGGTGCACCAGGTGGTAGGGGAAGCCGGTGGCCCGCAGCAGGGTCTCCATCTGGGCCAGGGTCTGCTCCCGCTGCTCCGGGCTCTGCCYGCACACGGCTCCCTCTGGAAGGTGGGGGGGAGTGCCAGGGCTCCGCTCACATTCCCAGGACCAGGGGGACACCCCAGGCTGGGCAGCACCCCAGCCCTGGCACAGCTCAGGGGACACTGTGCTGGGAGTGGGTAATGAGGCTGGGAATGGGCAGCAGGGCTGGGAGTGGGGTAGAGGATGGACAGTGGGTTGGGAATGGGGCAAGGAACAGGTCCTGGGGTCGGGATGGGGCAGAGAGCAAGGTTTAAATGGGGGATGAGGCAGGGAATGGGCAGCAGAACAGGGAATGGGTCGGGAATGGGCAGTGGGATGAGGAGAAGGCAGTGGGGCTCGCTCACCCTCAACGTAGACCAGGCTGGGGACGAAGCGGAGCCTCTTGGCCGCCTCCCGRCTGAGCCCCTGGCGGAGGAGGAGGGCGAGTGTGGGGTGAGTGGGGTGGCCAAGCTGTGCCCCCCACSCTGAGCCCCCCCGAGCCCCCATTCTCACCTCCTGCACCTGCCGGATCATGGCACTGGAGGCTGGGCCCCCTGACACTGCCAGCAGCACCTGTGGGGACAGCAGGGACTGTCACCAGCCCTGGTGGCATCCCCGGGTCCATCACCCCGTCCTCCCATCCCCGGTACCTTCTCTCCCGGGAAGATGACGCGGTTCTTGCCCAGCATGGCACGGAATTTGTGCACGAAGTACTCGCGGAAGCAGCCGCTGGAGGACACGGGCACCCCTGAGCCACTGCCTGTTCCAACACCCCAGACCCACATCCCCATGTCCCCAAGCCCTAAAGGTCTCGTCATGTCCCCAAGACCAATGTCCCAGAGAACAAGGTCCTCAAATCCTGACATCTCAGGGTTCCCCATCCCCTATGTCCCCGAGCCTTGATGTYCCTTGGCCCCAATGTCCCCAAACCCCAAAGTCCCAGAGATCCAGTGTCCCCAGCCCCAATATCCCAATGTTCCAGATACTCAACAGCCCTGAGACCCAATGTCCCCAGTCCCTGATGTCCCCAAGCCCCAAAGTCCCCAAGCCTTGATGCTCTGCACACACAAAACCCCCAATTTCTGATGTCCCCCAGCCCCGATGTCCCCCACTGTCCCCTCACCGGCAGAACGGGTCCCCGACGCGGATGACGAGGACGGCAGTGCCCTGCCCGCACTTCATGCAGGTCCGGGGGTGGCTGCGGGGACACGGCCGGTCACCGGGGACACCGGGACACCGGGGACACCGGCACCCGGAGGAGGTACCAGGGAGGGGCCGGCTGTCCCGGCAGCACCAAGAGATACCCGGGATGTTACTCGGGGGAAGCACCGGGAGATACCGGGAGGGGGGCATTGGAGATGGCACTGGGGAGTACTGGAGGGATACCGGGAGCAGCACCGGGGGGATACCGGGGATACCGGTGAGATATGGGGACAGTACCGGGGCGGTACCGGGGGGTGCTGGCGGATGCATCGGGGATGTAACGAAGGCAGCACGGGGGGGGATGCCCGGGGGAATACGGGAGAGTACCGGGAGCGGTCCCGGGGCTCCATTCCGGTGCCGGACCGGGCTCCCACCTGCCTGCCGGTGCGCGGCGGCGCCGCGGCGGGTCCGTGTCCGCCCCGCACCCGCCACCGCCACCCGCCACGTCGCACATGACGCTCGTCAGTGGATTCCGGTTGGTCCCGGTGAGTGTSGATGAGTCCCGGTAGATCCCGGTGGATCCCGGTGATTCCCGGTAGATCCCGGTGGGTCCCGTTCGGCTCGGTCCTTCTCGGCCTCGATCGGCTCCCCTCGGCTCCGTTCGGTCCCTTTCGGCCCCGTGCCGTTCCGCTCGGCCTCGATCGGTTCCCCTCGGCTCCGTTCGGTCCCTTTAGGCCCCGTGCGCTTCGCTCGGCCCCGCTCGGCTCCCCTCGGCTCCTCTCGGCTCCCCTCGGCTCCCCTCGGCTCCGCTCGGTTCCCCTCAGCCCCGGTGTGCCCCGGTATGTCCCGGTGTGTCCCGGTGCTCTCCCGTCGCGCGGCGATGACGCGATGGCGCCGCTCGGTGACGTGTGTCCCGCCCCGCCGGCCGCCGCCGCCATGTTCCGGAGCCTGCTGGTGGCGGCGGCGCAGCGGCCTCAGGGCCCGCCCGGGCCCCCCCGCGCCTCCCCCGGGCCCGGCGCCGCCGCCGAGGCGCTGGAGGCGCAGTTCAGCTGCCCCATCTGCCTGGAGGTTTTCCACCGCGCCGTCGGCATCGCGGGCTGCGGGCACACGTGAGACGGGGCCCGGGCGGGGGTGGCGGGGACCCCCGGGCTGAGGCGGCCGCGGGGACGGGAGCGACGCGGGCTCTGGGCGCTGTCTGGGCCGTGGGATCCTTGCGGGCTCTCTGCCCGGTGACCCCAGTCGGTACCGGGACCCCCAGCCCACCCCGGGATGGTTCAGGACCGGGAGCTCCCTCTCGCCCCCTGTCAACTACCGGGACCCCCATCCCATCCCATCCCACACCGGGACCGCTGTCCCACCTCTCCATCCCACCCCGTGACCTCCATCGCATCCCTCTCATCCCGCTCACTCCAGCACTCCCRTTCTCCCCTCCCGGTACCGGGACCCCCATCCCAAATCCTTCCCTGTCCCGGGAGGGGTGCTGCCCTGTTCCCCAGCCTGGAGCCGGTGTGGGGTGTCCCACTGAACCCCCAGAGCTCCCTCTGCTCCCAGGACCCCCAAACTCTTGTCCACTTGTCCCTCCAGCATTCTGGGGACAGTTTGATCCCTTTATCTTGATTTTGGGGACATTCCACATTTTGGGGACTGCGGCTTTGCTTGGAGCCCCAGCACCAGCTCTCTCTAGCTTGTTTTGGGGCTAGGGTAGGAGGGGGCAGGAATGCCAGGAAAATTGGATTTTAGGGATGGAGCTGCTTCACCTCCTCCCTGTTGGTCCTTCCTTTGTCTTCTCTGGGCTGCTGGGATTCCTCAGCCCTTGGATTCCTCTGCTCCTGGGGATACAAGGACTTTGGAAGGATGTGATCCTGGCCTGGATACTCAGCACCGATTTTGTTTTTCTCCTTTCCAATCCACCCTCGATTTTGTTTGTCTCCTTTCCAATCCACCCTCGGAGCAGTGCAATCATCTGTGCATGCGGGGAGCTCCTTGGGAACTCACCCCCTCCCAGTTCTCCCAGTTCTCCCAGTAGGGAAGGTGACCCCTGGGTTTTGGGGTGTCGGGAGTCCCGTGGAGGGGGGGATTGTGCTGTTTCCGGGGTGCTCAGGGCCATTCTCTGCCCCCAGGTTTTGTGGGGAATGCCTGCAGCCCTGCCTGCAGGTGCCCTCCCCGCTGTGCCCGCTCTGCCGCGTCCCCTTCGATCCCAAAAAGGTGGAGAAAGCTTCCAGCGTGGAGAAGCAGCTCTTGTCCTACAAAGCTCCCTGCAGAGGCTGCAGCAAGAAGGTGAAGCTGTCCCCATTGTCCCCATCCTGCTCTGGAATGGGTCTGGAGCAGGGAGCAGAGCTGGGGAAGGGTTTGGGGGAGCAGAGGAGGCTCYGGGGGGATCTTTTGGCAGAGAGGGCAGTCAGGGGGGTCGAGCTCTGCTCCCAGGGAATGGGGACAGGACTTCTGGGGTCTCTGCAGCCCCAAATCTCCGTTCTGTTAGGAAGGAGGGTGGGTGCAGTATTCCCACTGCTGTGGGTCATCCCAGGAATGTTCCTTGTGCTCCTTGTGCAGGTGTCCCTGGCCAAGATGCGCTCTCACGTCTCGTCCTGTGCCAAGGTGCAGGAGCAGATGGCCAACTGCCCCAAGTTTGTTCCTGTAGTCCCCACTTCCCAGCCTATTCCCAGGTATTCCTGCGCTTCGGGGATGGAAACTGTGTCCCTCCTGTCACACTCTCAAATCCAGGATTGTGCTGTGCCTTTTCCTGGGAGGAGGATCAGTGCCTTTTCCCTCTGGCACTGCCGGAGCGTGGGGTGGGGTGAAGGATCCACCAGAGCAGGGAATTGGGGTGGGAGTCTGCTGTCACAAAACTCTGATGGGGTGGTTTGGAAAGAGTCAATCCAGCCCCTTCCCTGCGGATCTGAGCTCATCCTTGCTCTGTTCAGCAACATTCCCAACCGCTCCACGTTCGTGTGTCCGTACTGCGGGGCCCGGAACCTGGACCAGCAGGAGCTGGTGAAGCACTGCATGGAAAAYCACCGCAAYGACCCCAATAAAGTGGTGAGTGAGRGATSCTGKGGTGCTGGGAGTAACTCTGCAAATCCAAACAYTGCAGCTGATGTGTGTGGAAGCACAGCTGTGTTCCAGCTGCTTGAAATCCCTTTGGGAGGTCAGGATTTCTGTTTTGTTAGAGGCTCCCTCAAATGAGCTGCCTCCCTCCCCCTGTTCCTGCAAACCAGCTGGATTTCCTCTCCCTCTTCCCTSTGGGTTGGTTGGGATCTTTGGCACAGGAAGGACATGGAGCTGTTGGAGAGACTCCAGAGGAAATCACCAACTCTGCCATGAGGAAAGGCTGGGAGAATTGGGATTGTTCAGCCTGGGAAAGAAAAGCTTTGGGGAGACCGAATTGTGGCCTTGCAGGACCTTCAGGAAAGGTGGAGAGAGGGTATTGGAGTGACAGGACAAGGGGGAATGCATTCAGACTGCCAGAGAGTAGGTTTGGATTGGAAATTAAAGATAAATCCTTCCCTGGGAGGCTGAGGCAGAGGTGRCCCTGTCCAGATGCCACCATTCCATGTCCCTGTCCCCACAGGTGTGCCCAGTGTGCTCGGCCATGCCCTGGGGYGATCCCAGCTACAAGAGTGCCAACTTCCTGCAGCACCTGCTCCACAGGCACAAGTTCTCCTACGACACCTTCGTGGTGAGTGTGAGCCAAAAAAAGGGCAGCTCCCCTCTCTATCCTGTGTCAGGGGGTGAAACCAGCTCTTCCCTTCCTGCTGGGATGGGGGCACATTCTTGTCCTGCCCGTGAGACCCTCACTCACCAGGAGGGGAGGGAGCTGTTCCTGCACTCCACACCAAAGATGGGTTGTTCCATTAAACTTCCCCTAAGGAATTTTAACACAAAATCCCTTTTCTTGGAGCTTTCAGGAGAAGGAGGAGGAGACCAGCCCAGCCACAGGGTTTGGGGGGGTCTGGTTGCTGCACTTGGGGGGTCCCTGACCCCTCTTGTGTGGGGGGGAATTGTGATGGCTCAGCCTTGGCCTCAGGGGAGGCTTTGTTCCCATCCTGCTTTCCTTGGATGGATGTCAGGGAAAAGAACGTCCAGGAATATCCCAACTTCAGSAGTCATTGTGGTGCTGGAAAAACCCCTGGCCTTGCTAGAAAGCTTCACCTTTTGGCTTCAGCTTTTGTGGGCAGGTTCCATCCCTCCTGCCAGCTCTGAGTTTGATGCAGGAGAGGGGTGTGGGCACAAAGGACACCCCGAGGAGCACGGGTGGCATTCCTGGGCTCCATGGCACCCTAGGAGATGACCTCCCGAAAAGGATACCTAGATAAAAATTTACAGTTGCAAATGAACTTTTGATTCATATATAAAGATTATTTTTATAATCTGTGTGCCCTAGCTGTGCCAGCTCTCCTGAGCTTCCCTGTTTGATTTTCAGGATTACAACATCGACGAGGAGGCAGCGTTGCAGGCAGCCCTGGCCCTGTCCCTCTCAGAGAACTGAGGCTGATCCCTCTCTCCCTGCCCTGGCTGCTCCTGGGGACACAGAGCCCTCCAGAGCCCCACTGCTGCCTCCCTTCCTGCTGCTCTGCAGGCAAATCCCGCCTTGTTGAAGAAGGTGGAGCCTCTTCAGTGTCASAGTGAGTGAGCAGAGGCCTCTGGAGAGGTGGGATCAATCCTTGCAGAGGCGTTTCATATCCGTATTGGGAGCACATCCCTGTGCTCTGATCTATTTATTATTAGATGCTTTTTGGCACACTTCGTCCCTGCTCTCTGTTGCAGCAGAATATGTACCTGAAACTGATAGGTTGGATGCAAAACACCCTAATTTGGGACTGGAATCAGCCACATCCTTTTAAAAAGGAGGAAGACAGCACAGAGCTTCTTTTTTTTACACTCTCCAAGGATTTTTCCAGAGATGTCAGGCTGTCCTGACCCCCRTGCTGGAGGCTGGAGCTGCCTCCTTCACCTGAATCCCGGGATGAGACTGAACAGGGGTTCAGAGGAGCCCTCGAGGATGGCATCCAGCATCCAGGGAAACCTTCCCCTTCCTCGTTTTGTACCGGCTCTTGGGATACCAAATCCCTGTTTTTCTACACCAAGCGGCACGAAGCCTTTTCCACGTTTTCTAGAGCAGGATCAGAAGCTGTTCCTCTTCACACTGCAATATCCGTCACCTGGGACAAGAGTATTTTTATGGAACATTCTTAAGAAAGTTTATTTTTTACAGAAATAACCCAAGCAAACGAACACGTGGATTGGGAATGGGGTGGGAGCTGGATCCTGGAGGAGTGGTGGGTTGGACTCTGAGGTGGGGGGAAGTGCAGGGATCTTTCTGGGCCATTCCTGGATATTTCTGGGCCTTTCCCTTCCCTCTCCAGAATTCCTCTGCCTGTGAGGAATGGTTGTGCCACGCTGGCACTGGGCAGGGAGCAGCTGGGTTGGATCCAGGTGCTGGTTGCCCATGGAATGTCCATCCATGCAGGATCCCAGCCCCAACACCGAGCTGCTCATCCCCCCAGAATTAAGGGATTGTGTTTCCCTTTTYTGATCTCTCCCTGGGAATAGGGCACTGTTGATCCAAGGTGCTCCACAGCATCCTGGTGACCTTTCCCTTTTCATCCCCTTCCTCTCAGCCCTGCCTGCTGCAGGTGGAGTTGGCTCTGRAGGGCTGGGAGAAGGTGGGAGGGAGATGGGATGAGCCCAAAGCTCCCAAAGTGATGGAGCTGAGGGAGGGGGTGATTCCCAACACCCGCCAYGCTGCCTTTCCACGGGATTTTTTGCAGGGCAGAAGGGTGGGAAAAGCCCCCTCTGCATCTCCCTGCTTGGAGAATTCCTGACATTTATCCAAAACCTGGCTCCAGCTCTGCTCTAGCAATACTGGCTTGGTTTTTATTTTGATTTTAGTAGGACTGGTTGGTTTTGGAGTCTGCAGCCCCTCGAGGAGCGTGCAGGGAACCCTCTGCTCTGATGGCAGRGCAGGGAAAGGGCTGGAGCTGCCCCTTTCCCCTTTCTGGAGCCAGGCCAGCCAGGAGGGCTGGGATCTCTTACCTGCCCAGCATTTCTGGAGGATGTTCCTGGCGGGATGGAGAGCACTGGCATCTTCCAGGAGGAACCCAGGAGGGTTCCCTGTCCTGTGCTCAGCTCCTGGCACAGAGAGCTCCCTGCTTTTGGGCCAGCACTGTTAACCTCGGGCTCCTTCCCATTTCCTTATCCTTTTTGCCCTGCAGAGCCAGAGCAGGGGCAGCAAGAGCTGCTTTTGTAAAGCACTTTAAGGCCCTGGGTGTGAGGGGCCAGGCCATGCTGTGATGGGTTTCCCTCCGTGCCAGGGATCCCGCTGGCCGTGCCCATCAAAGTGTCACCCACCACTTTTTTTGCATAATTAGAACTTTTAACGAGCCGTCCTGTTTTTTGAAGAATAATTAACTCGATGACGTATTTGTAGCAAACCATTTTTCTCAATAAAGGCAGTTTCATCCACGCCTGGGCTCGCCGCGGGGAAGGAATGCCTGGAGCACTGGGATACTGGGGTTACTGGGATTTTGGGAGCAGTGAGAGAGTACTGGGGGTATTTGGAGTACTGGGATGCTATAGGGGAGCACTGGGATACTGGGGTTACTGGGATTTTGGGAGCACTGAGAGAGTACTGGGGATATTTGGAGCTCTGGGGTGCTATAGGGGAGCACTGGGATACTGGGGTTACAGGGATACTGGGGCACTGGGTTTACTGGGAGCACTGAGAGAGTACTGGGGGTATTTGGAGCTCTGGGGTGCTGAGGTTTACTCAGAGCACGGAGAGAGTACTGGGGATATTTGGAGCATTGGGGTGCTATAAGGGAGCACTGGGTTTAACTGGGAGCAGTGAGAGAGTACTGGGGGTATTTGGAGCACTGGGGTGCTATAGGGGAGCACTGGAATACTGGGGTTACTGGGATACTGGGGCACTGGGTTTACTGGGAGCACTGAGAGAATACTGGGGATATTTGGAGCTTTGGGGTGCTGAGGTTCACTGGGAGCACTGAGAGAGTACTGGGGGTATTTGGAGCTCTGGGGTGCTGAGGTTTACTCAGAGCACTGAGAGAGTACTGGGGATATTTGGAGTACTGGGGTGCTATAGGGGAGCACTGGGATACTGGGGTTACTGGGATACTGGGGCACTGGGTTTACTGGGAGCACTGATGCGTTGGGGAACTGGGGACACCGAGGGCACTGGGTAACAATGGAGGCAGAGGGTGTAGAGAGCACTGGGAGCGGTATTTGGAGCAGAACCGGGAAGGTACCGAGAGCAGAACCGGGAAGGTACCGGAGCACCGGCACCGTCTGCGCATGCGCAATTCTTGCCCAATTCAAAAATGGCGCCCCTTAGGTCCCGCCCGGCGCTCTCAGTGGGCGGAGCCGCCCGTGGTCCGATCGCTCCTATTGGCTGTTTGGAACCGGGCGCTGCGCTCTGGACCAATGGCGAGGCGGGACCGGCCACGCGCCACGGTCACGTGCGTGGGGCGGGGGCGGGACCTGAGGCCGGCGGGCTGAGGCGGCAGCGATGGCGGCGGAGCGAACTGTGGCCATGGCCACCTGCACGGCCCCCGTGAACATCGCCGTCATCAAATACTGTGAGTGCCGCGGGACAGCGGGCGGGACACCGGGAACGGGGGCACGGGAGGGACGGGGAGCGCGGGTTCCGGGCCGTGCTGGGTGTGCCACGTGCGGCTGTGCCGTGACAGGTGGCATTGAACCGGGCCAGACCATTCCTTACCATGCCATTCCTTGCCATTCCTTGCCATGCCGAGTGCTGTTATGCCGTGCTTTGCTGTGTCCATCAGTGCCATTCCTGGCTGTGCTGTGCCATTCCTGACTGTGCCATGCCATTCCTGGCTTTGCCGTGCCATTCCTGGCTGTGCTATGCCATTCCATGCTGTTCCTGGCTGTGCCATACCGTGCCATGCCATTCCATGCCATTTCGAGCCCTGCCATGCCATTCCTGGCTGTGCTATGTCATTCCTGGCTGTGCCATGCCGTGCCATGCCATTCCTGGCTGTGTTATGCCATTCCTGGCTGCACCATGTCATTCCATGCCATTCCGTGCCATGCCGTGCTTTCTTGCAGGGGGCAAGCGCGACACCGACCTCATCCTGCCCATCAACTCCTCCCTGAGCGTGACGCTGCACCAGGACCAGGTGAGTCAGGATTAGGATCAGGATCAGGATCAGGTTTGGGATCAGGATCAGGTTTGGGATCAGGTTCAGGATCAGGTTTGGGATCAGGACCAGGTGAGTGAGGATCAGGATCAGGTTTGGGATCAGGATCAGGTTTGGGATCAGACCAGGTGAGTCAGGATCAGGATCAGGATCAGGTTTGGGATCAGGATCAGGTTTGGGATCAGGACCAGCCGTGCCCGGGGGTGCTGAGCCCCTCACCCTCTCCCCCCAGCTCAAGACCACCACGACAGCGGCCGCCAGCCGGGATTTCACCGAGGACCGGCTGTGGCTCAACGGGAAGGAGGCGGACGTGGGGCACCCGCGGGTGCAGGCCTGCCTGCGTGAGGGTGTGTCCCCTGCCCGGGGGTGTCCCCGCTGTCCCCTGTCCCCACTGTTCCCTGTCCCTGCTGTCCCCTGACCCCGCTGTCCCCTGTCCCCGCTGTCCCCTCTGTCCCCTGACCCCGCTCTCCCTGCAGTGCGACGCCTGGCCCGGAAACGCCGTGGGGGCAATGAGGACGCGGCCGCTCTCAGCCTTTCCTACAAAATCCACATCGCCTCCGAGAACAACTTCCCCACGGCCGCCGGGCTCGCCTCGTCTGCCGCCGGCTACGCCTGCCTGGGTGCGTGTGGGACGGGGCACGGCACTGCTGGGTGTCCCTGTCTCTGAACTGTCCCCTTTGTCCTGCTGGGAGGGGTGACACACGGGGTCCCTTTGCTGTGACCTGTGCTCTCCTGTGGCTGCATAGCGTGGGAGCTACTGGGTGGGGTGACAGGGGTGTCCCTGTGTCTGTCCCCGCAGTGTCAGCGCTGGCTCAGGAGGGGTGACGGGGGTGTCCCCTCAGTGTTGGCTCTGATAGCACTGGGAGGGGTGACAGGGGTATCCCCTGTGCCTGTCCCTGTAGCACCGGGAGGGGTGACAGGGGTGTCCCCTGTGCCTGTCCCTGCAGTGTCAGCGCTGGCTCAGGAGGGTGACAGGGGTGTCCCCTGTGCCTGTCCCCACAGTGTCAGCGCTGGCCCGGCTCTGGTAGCACCAGGAGGGGTGACAGGGGTGTCCCTGTGCCTGTCCCCGAAGTGTCAGCACTGGCTCAGGAGGGTGACAGGAGTGTCCCTGTGCCTGTCCCTGTAGCACTGGGAGGGGTGACAGGGGTGTCCCTGTGCCTGTCCCCGCAGTGTCAGCGCTGGCTCAGGAGGGTGACAGGGGTGTCCCTGTATCTGTCCCCACAGTGTTGGTGCTGGCCCAGCTCTGGTAGCACTGGGAGGTGTGGCAGGGGTGACAGGCCTGTCCCCTGTGGCTGTCCCCACAGTGTCAGCGCTGGCCCGGCTCTGGTAGCACCAGGAGGGGTGACAGGGTTGTCCCCTGTGCCTGTCCCCGCAGTGTCAGTGCTGGCTCAGGAGGGGTGACAGGCGTGTCCCTGTGCCTGTCCCGCAGTGTCAGCGCTGGCTCAGAGGGGTGACAGGGGTGTCCCCTGTGCCTGTCCCGCAGTGTCAGCGCTGGCCCGGCTCTGGTAGCGCTGGGAAGGGTGACAGGGGTGTCCCTGTGGCTGTCCCACAGTGTCAGCGCTGGCTCAGGAGGGTGACAGGGTTGTCCCTGTGGCTGTCCCGCAGTGTCAGCGCTGGCTCAGAGGTGTGACAGGGTTGTCCCTGTGGCTGTCCCCGCAGTGTCAGCGCTGGCCCGGCTCTAGTAGCGCTGGGAAGGGTGACAGGGGTGTCCCTGTGGCTGTCCCCGCAGTGTCAGCGCTGGCTCAGAGGGGTGACAGGAGTGTCCCTGTGGCTGTCCCCGCAGTGTCAGCGCTGGCTCAGAGGGGTGACAGGGGTGTCCCTGTGCCTGTCCCCGCAGTGTCAGCGCTGGCCCGGCTCTATGGCCTGCAGGAGGAGCTGTCGGAGGTGGCCCGGCGGGGCTCGGGCAGTGCCTGCCGCAGCATGTTCGGGGGTTTCGTGCAGTGGCAGCGCGGGGAGCGCCCCGATGGCACCGACAGCCTGGCCCTTCAGGTGGCTCCCGAGACGCACTGGCCGGAGCTCCGTGTCCTCGTGCTGGTGGTGAGGGGCTGGCAGGGCATTTGGGACTGGGGGGGTCAGGAGGAGCAGTGTCCCACTGTGTGTGTCCCCACAGGTCAGTGGGGAGAAGAAGCCGGTGGGCAGCACGGCAGGGATGCAGACCAGTGTGGAGACCAGTCCCTTGCTGAAGGTATGGNCAATGAGGACGCGGCCGCTCTCAGCCTTTCCTACAAAATCCACATCGCCTCCGAGAACAACTTCCCCACGGCCGCCGGGCTCGCCTCGTCTGCCGCCGGCTACGCCTGCCTGGGTGCGTGTGGGACGGGGCACGGCACTGCTGGGTGTCCCTGTCTCTGAACTGTCCCCTCCGTGCTGCTGGGAGGGGTGACACACGGGGTCCCTTTGCTGTGACCTGTGCTCTCCTGTGGCTGCATAGTGTGGGAGCTGCTGGGAGGGGTGGCAGGGGTGTCCCTGCAGTGTCGGTGCTGGCCCGGCTCTGGTAGCACTGGGAGGTGTGGCAGGGGTGACAGGGGTGTCCCCTGTGCCTGTCCCTGCAGTGTCAGCGCTGGCTCAGGAGGGTGACAGGGGTGTCCCCTGTGCCTGTCCCTGTAGCACCAGGAGGGGTGACAGGGGTGTCCCTGTGCCTGTCCCCGCAGTGTCAGCACTGGCTCAGAGGGGTGACAGGGGTGTCCCCTGTGGCTGTCCCCGCAGTGTCAGCGCTGGCCTGGCTCTGGTAGCGCTGGGAAGGGTGACAGGGTTGTCCCCTATGCCTGTCCCCGCCGTGTCAGCGCTGGCTCAGGAGGTGTGGCAGGGGTGTCCCTGTGGCTGTCCCTGTAGCACTAGGAGGGGTGACAGGGGTGTCCCTGTATCTGTCCCCACAGTGTTGGTGCTGGCCCAGCTCTGGTAGCACTGGGAGGTGTGGCAGGGGTGACAGGCCTGTCCCCTGTGGCTGTCCCCACAGTGTCAGCGCTGGCCCGGCTCTGGTAGCACCAGGAGGGGTGACAGGGTTGTCCCCTGTGCCTGTCCCCGCAGTGTCAGTGCTGGCTCAGGAGGGGTGACAGGCGTGTCCCTGTGCCTGTCCCGCAGTGTCAGCGCTGGCTCAGAGGGGTGACAGGGGTGTCCCCTGTGCCTGTCCCGCAGTGTCAGCGCTGGCCCGGCTCTGGTAGCGCTGGGAAGGGTGACAGGGGTGTCCCTGTGGCTGTCCCACAGTGTCAGCGCTGGCTCAGGAGGGTGACAGGGTTGTCCCTGTGGCTGTCCCGCAGTGTCAGCGCTGGCTCAGAGGTGTGACAGGGTTGTCCCTGTGGCTGTCCCCGCAGTGTCAGCGCTGGCCCGGCTCTAGTAGCGCTGGGAAGGGTGACAGGGGTGTCCCTGTGGCTGTCCCCGCAGTGTCAGCGCTGGCTCAGAGGGGTGACAGGAGTGTCCCTGTGGCTGTCCCCGCAGTGTCAGCGCTGGCTCAGAGGGGTGACAGGGGTGTCCCTGTGCCTGTCCCCGCAGTGTCAGCGCTGGCCCGGCTCTATGGCCTGCAGGAGGAGCTGTCGGAGGTGGCCCGGCGGGGCTCGGGCAGTGCCTGCCGCAGCATGTTCGGGGGTTTCGTGCAGTGGCAGCGCGGGGAGCGCCCCGATGGCACCGACAGCCTGGCCCTTCAGGTGGCTCCCGAGACGCACTGGCCGGAGCTCCGTGTCCTCGTGCTGGTGGTGAGGGGCTGGCAGGGCATTTGGGACTGGGGGGGGTCAGGAGGAGCAGTGTCCCACTGTGTGTGTCCCCACAGGTCAGTGGGGAGAAGAAGCCGGTGGGCAGCACGGCAGGGATGCAGACCAGTGTGGAGACCAGTCCCTTGCTGAAGGTATGGGGACACGGGCAGGGACAGGGTCCCTTTGCCCTGGGAATGACACTGGAGGGCATGGAGTGACACCCAAAGGGTCACAGTGCTGTGGGTGTCACCACATTGGGATGACAGTGACCTGCCCACTGTGGGCATCACTAAATTTGGGGTGACCACAACCTGCCTGCTGTGTGTGACACTGAATTGGGGTGACCATAATTCATCTTTTGTGGGTGACACTGAATTGGAGTGACCATAATTCACCTTTTGTGGGTGACACTGAATTGGGGTGGCCACAATTCACCTGTTGTGGGTGACACTGAATTGGGGTGACCATAATTCACCTGTTGTGCGTGTCCCTGAATTGGGGTGCCACAACCCTCCTGCTGTGTGTGTCCCTGGACTGATGGTGGCCTCCCTGCTGTGGCAGCACCGGGCAGAGGTGGTGGTCCCCGAGCGCCTGGCTCAGATGATGCAGCACATCCGGGAGCGGGACTTTGAGGGYTTCGGCCAGCTGGCCATGAGGGACAGCAACCAGTTCCACGCCACGTGCCTGGACACCTTCCCACCCATCTTCTACCTCACGGACCTGTCACGCCACATCATCGCGCTGGCRCATCGCTACAACGCCCACCACGGCCACACCAAGGTACCAGCGGGGTTTCTGTGGGTGCCCCAGTGCCTGGGTCCCCCCACAAGGTCCCCATGTCCCCTCAATGCCACCGCAGGTCGCCTACACCTTCGACGCCGGTCCCAACGCCGTCATCTTCGCGCTGGCCAACACCGTGGCCGAGTTCGTGGAGGTGGTGAGGCGCAGCTTYCCCCCTGCCACCAACGGGGACCAGTAAGGGCATCTCTCTTCTGACTGGGGTGGCACAAGGGGGGACGTGGGGACACAGGGACTGAGTGCTGGCCCCGCCACAGGTTTGTCCGGGGGCTGCCCGTGGGCTCGGCCGCGCTGTCACAGGAGCTGGTGGCCGCCGTGGTSACCGAGCCGGTGCCGGGGGCTGTCCAGTACATCCTGCACACCAAGGTGAGGGGCAGGGGGGGTGACATGGGGGGGACACGTCTGCACAGCCTCGTGGGGAGGCTCTGACCCCATCCATGGCCCCAAGGCGGGGGTGGGACCCCATTCCTGTCCCCAGGGGAGGTGTGGGACCCCATTCCTGTCCCCAGGGGTGTGTCTGGGACCTCATCCCTGTCCCCATCCACAGTTGGGTGTGCAGGACCCCATTCCTGTCCCCAGGGGTGTGTGTAGAGCCCTGTCCCCATTCCCAGGGCTGTGTGGGACCCCATCCCTGTCCCCATCCCCAGTTGGGTGTGCAGGACCCCATTCCTGGACATTTTCCTGCTGGCACAACACCATGGGGTGACCTTTTGGGGTCTGTGGAGCCCAGTGCTACCCCTCAACCCCAGTAGGGGGGTCCCTGCAGACTGTGGGGCTCCCTGGTGTCCCTGACCCGTGTCCCTGCAGGCCGTGGGGCTCCCTGGTGTCCCTGACCCGTGTCCCTGCAGGCCGTGGGGCTCCCTGGTGTCCCTGACCCGTGTCCTGTCCCACAGCCTGGCCCTGGTCCCCAGCTCGTGGATGATCCCAGCCAGCACCTCCTGGGAGCGGATGGATTGCCCCGGAGCCGCGCCTGACCCCGGTGACASCCTGGGACAGCCTGGGACAGCCGGGACAGCTCGGGAGGGCTCTGCTGGTGCCACCCGTGGGGCTCAGGACCCTGAGCCAGACCTGCTGCAAAGCTGTCCCCAGCCCTGGGGCGGKGTGTGGCCCTGGGGCTGGTTTTTAYTCTTTTGTAAGGAAATAGAGGGTTCCTGGCTCCAGCGCTGTTTGGGGGTGTCAGGTTCTGTGTGTGGTGCTGCGGGGGATCAGTGCCAGCCAAAAAAGGGGGCAGGAGCTGGGGACAGTCCCTGGAGCTGAACGTGTCCCTCTGCAAAGCCGTCACCCCACAGGACCCCTGTGTCCTTTGTGGGGAATCTCCTGTCCCACATGCCCTGAAGCTGTCACTACTGGGGCTGATCCCGTTCCCCTGTATGTCCCCTGTCCCTTGCACATCCCACATCCCCCGTCCTGTCCCTGTCCCTTGCAGGACGGATCCTGTCCCGTGTCCCTCACATGTCCCTGCTGGGATGGTCCTSTCCCCCCRCATGGCCCCRTTGTYCCCRTGTCCCCCTGGATCGGACTGATCCTGTCGCTCCGTGCCATCCTTGTCACCCCACATGTCCGGTGTACCCCCGGTCGGTGCCATGTCCCCGCGGGGGGCGTGGCCTGTGGGAAAGGGGCGTGGTCTTGTGCGAGRGGGCGTGGCCGGCGGTTCGTAGCGCCGCACCCGCCTTCCGGGTCGGGACCGGCCGAGCGGAGCCGAACCGGGACGGGCCGAACCGAGCGGAGCCGGGAGCAGCCGAACCCCATCGGCCGAACTGACCGAAACCGACCGGGTTAAGCCCCGAGGAGCCGAACCCGCTCGGGCTGAGCCGAGCAGAGCCGAACCCCATCGGCTGAACCGGCGAACCCGCTCGGGGCGAGCCGAACCGGGCCGGGAGCAGCCGTAGCCCCTCGGGCCGATCCGAGCGGAGCCGGGAGGAGCCGAAGGCGCTCGGGCCGATCCGAGCGGAGCCGGGAGGAGCCGAAGGCGCTCGGGCCGGCGGTTTCGCTGCTGGCCATGGGGCAGATCGAGTGGGCCATGTGGGCGAACGAGCAGGCGCTCGCCGCCGGGCTCAGTGAGTGCGGGGGGATTGCGGGGCTTGGGGAGACCGGGGCTGGGCGGGTGGGGGGATCCGGGAGCTTCGCAAAGTCCCGGGGCGCTGGCGGGAGGGAGGGAGCGGCCGGCGGGCTGGGAATGAATGCCCAGGGAGGGGATGCTGAGCCCCGGGGGTGTCCCCGGACACGGCCCCGGGGGATGGGAGGGGGTCCCGGTCCCACTGAGCGGGGGGCGCTGGGGACAGCCGGTGGGTGCGGGCGGAGGCGCCGGGGACGGCCGGGAAGTCCCGTCCCAGCCGGGTCGGAGCCTCCTCTTCCTCCTTTTCTCTTCCTTCTCTGCCCTCTCTTCCTCGGTTTCGTCTTCTCCTCCTCCACTGTTCTCTCTTCCTCTTCTTGCGTCGGCCACGGGGCCAAAAACCTCTCCTCAAAGCCGTCTAAGCCTGGAGCTCCCCAGCTCCCTTCCCTGAATCCAGAGAGTCCCGCTCCTCCCCGGCAGCATCTCCCCGACATCCCGCAAATTGGAGTCCTTGGGGCCATGGAATGCCCCGGTTCCCTTCCTTGAGTCCGGGACTCACGTACCAGAGTCCAAAACCCCGGGTCTGGGCTGTGCGGGGGCTGTGTCCGGTGTTGGGAGTTTGGGGTTTGTGTGCTGAGTTTGGGGTGTGTGTGCTGAGTTTGGAGTTTGTATCCTGAGCTCGGGGTTTGTATCCTGAGTTTGGAGTTTATATCCTGAGTTTGGGGTTTGTGTGCTGAGTTCGGTGTTGTATCCTGGGGTCGGTGTTTGTATCCTGGGGTCGGGGGGCCATATTCTGATTTCGGGGTTTGTATTCTGATTTCGGGGTTTGTATTGTGAGCTCGGGGTTTGTACCCGGGCTGGGGGTCGTTATCCCGGCCTGGGGTCCCTTGTCCCGGCCGGGTCCCCCCATCCCGCTGTTCCCACAGTCCTGCTGACGGGCGGCATCGTGGCTGTGGCGGGACAATTCAAGGGCTGGTATTTCGCCGCCTATTCCATGTATCCTTCCCGACGGCATTCCCGGGGCTGGGCTGCAGGAAAATCCCATCCTGACCGGCGGGAGGCAGGGACATGGGGTCACATCCTCCTCCCCCCGCTCGCAGCYGTGCTTTCCCTGCCCCACACAGCCCTTTTTTTGGGATGAGGGGTGTTTTTCGGGGCTGTCCCCGTTCCGATCCCCCCTTTCCTTAACCCGCCGGCAGCGCTGCAGGCGTCCTGGTCTGCCTGCTCGAATATCCCAGGAGCAAACGGCAGAAGGGCTCCACCATGGAGAGATGGTGAGTGGGGTGTCCCCCCTGCATCCCTGGAACTGGGGGTCCCAGTAGCCCCCAAATTCCGGGATGTGGCACTGGGAATGGGAGCAGAGCTGGATCCCACGGTGGCATCYTYRGGATGTCCTTGCARAGATGGGRGTCCCTGGGTGCTGKGTGTCCCCCAGGATGGGGACACCCCCTGTGACACCCCCGATGTCACCCTGCAGTGGCCAGAAGTACCTGACAGCCGTGGTGAAGCTGTTCGGGCCCCTCACGAGGAATTACTACATCCGAGCTGTCCTTCACGCCGCGTGAGTGGGGTCTGGGGTGGGGAGAGGGAGCTGGGCCCCCCAAATCCCTTCTGAACCCCCTCTGAACCCCCAATCTGTGTCCCAGGCTGGCTGTCCCCGCTGGTTTCCTCCTCTCCACCATCCTGGGCACCGTCTGCCTGGGCATTGCCAGTGGCATTTACCTGCTGGTGAGTGCAGAGGGGCCCTGGGGGGAGGAGGGCACCCTAAACCCATGGGCTGCTCCTTCCATGCACATCCCAGAGCATTCCTGGGCTGGGCTGCAGGAAAACCCCGTCCTGATTGGGGTGGRGGCATGGATGTGGGGTCGCATCCCGCTCCCACTGAGCTTTCCTTGCCCCAAACAACGCCTTTTTGGGGTGAGGCTCATTCCTTGGCGCTATTCCCGATCCCACAGGCTGCAGTTCGAGGGGAGGAGTGGAGACCCATCGAGCAGAAGCCCCGGGAGCGGCCCCAGGTGGGGGGCACCATCAAGCAGCCCCCCAGCAATCCCCCACCCCGGCCCCCGCCCGATGCCCGCAGGAAGCAGCCAGAGGTTGGGGGGCAGGTGAACCCCATCCCTGTGGAAGCGGAATAACGGGAATCCTGCTGCCACTCCTGCTCCTGCTTCCCAGCTGCTCCTGGATCCACTGCAGGATCGGGAATGGGCTCCTGGGGATCCCCAAAACCCAGAGGCTGCTCAGCTCCTGGGGATGCGCAGATCCCTGGGATCATCAGTTCCCCCCGGGCTCCCCAAGGGATTCCCAAATTCCCAGCTCCTGGGGACCCCCAAATTCCCKAGGATGTTCAGCTTTCTGTGGGGTCTGAAGCCCCCAGRGGCTCCTCAGCTCCTGGGAAACCCCAAATCCCTGGGGATATTCAACTCCCTGAGGGTCCCAACTCTCCAAACAGCCCCCAGTATCCCGAGGGATCCCCAAATCCAGCTCTCAGGGAATCCCCAGCCCCCCGGGGGGATTAGGCAGCTCTGCTCTGGCTCTCCCTGTTTTTTGTCACTTCTGCAGTTGCTGTTGCAATAAAAACTGGGAAAGGCACYGGCTGCCGCTGCCTCCTGCTCCTGGGGGAGCCTCCCCTCCTGTCCTGCTCCTGGGAGAGATTGGGGGGTGTTTTGAGGACAAATAATGCAATTATTGGCAAACGCAGAATGGGGATGTGCTGAGTGTGGCCATGGCAGGGTCCCCTCCCAMAATCCTTATGGACCCAGCATTGGGATGGAGCTGGGGGAGCCCAGCGAGTCCCAAAGGAGGCCCCAAAACYTGGGATGATCCCTCAGCAGGGAATGTGGGGATCATTTCCCTCCCCAGTCCCACTCGTGRGTGCTGGAAGTTCCCTTATGGGATGTGGGTGCCAAATCCTTGATCCTGCTGGGCATCAGCAGCCCCTGTGTCCCCTCCCCACACAGACCCCGGTCCCTCGGGGGGTGCAGATGCCCCAGGGCCCCCCGGGCACTGCCAGCACATCTGGGGTGGCCCTGGCAGGTGGCACCGGGCCCGTGGGCTGCAGTGCCCGGGGGCAGAGCCATGGGAAAGGTGTGGGTGTCGGGGTGCCAGGGCTGGGTCCCCCCGGGGCTGGGGGTGTGGGGGTGCCCTGTGCCCTCCCCATCACCTCCCTGTTCATCCTGCCCTGCCGCACTGGGWGCACTGGTGCTCTGCCCGCAGTGCAGGGGGTGAGGGGTGTCCCACAGCCAGGCACTGCCACCCGTGGGTGTCCCTCTGTTGTCCCTCTGTCCCTGCGCCTCGATTCCCAACATCCCGGTGCCCTGGCTGGGAACAGAGCAAGGACCGTGCCAGGCGTTGTTTGCTTTTATTCGCAGCATTAAATAGCACAGGGAGAGGAGACAATAAATAGCTTTTTTGGGGGAATAAATAACCAGCGAGCGCCCGGGCAGCGCTCGCAGGGTCGGACCGAGGGGCGTCGAGCACCGCGGGGCGATGCCAGCCCGGAGTCACAGCCGTGGCCGAGGGGGTCAGCAATAAATACGGGGTACAAAACCCCCCCCGGCAGCAAGGCCGATAAATAACTCATAAATAACGAGGGGAGGGTGCTCTAAAACAAGCACGGGCGGGGCCGGGCGGTGACACGGTCACGGTTCGGGGCTGCGCGGGCGCGGCGCGGGCTCAGCGCACCGTGCGGGGCAGGACGCAGGTACAGCCCACGGGCACTCGGATATAATCCACCTCCAGAGCGAACATCCCCAGCGCCCCCGGCCGCGGGCACGGCTTGCGCCGCACCACCATCATGCTCTGGTGGATGGTCACCGAGTTGAGCGATGTCGTCTCCCGGCCGGTTTTCACATCCACGCAGCCGCTGCACAGGCACTCGGCGAARGCCAGCTTGCGCGGGTAGCGGTTCTCATCCTCGTCGATGCTGCGGGGACACGGCCGCGCTTTCCTTCGTGCTCACCGCGGCTGGGGGCACGGAGGAAAGCGGTTTTCGGGGTGTCGGGGTGCGGCGGGCACTCACCGGTAGGTCCACGGGGAGATGGAGCGCTCGTGGGGTTCGCTGCGGGGCCCGGTGCGCAGGGACAGCGCGGGACAGCCGTGCGGGCGGAGCCGCCGCAGCCTCCGAGCTTCCAAGCGCTCCAGCTGCGGCACCAAATGCACCGGGAGGAGCCGGTCCCAGCGCAGGCTGCGMGCCAGGAACTGCGCCGGAGCCTCGTCCCCCAGCTCGGCCCCGCTGTAGCAGCGCACGGCGGCGTGGRCAGAGCCACCCCCGGGGCGACGCAACCCCCGGCACGGTCCCAGAGCCGCCAGCAGAGCCAGGACAGCCAGCCAGCCCTGTGGGGACAGCGCGGAGCGTCAGGGACAGCCGCGGGGATGGGGACAGACACAGAGAGCCAGGGGACACAGGGACAGCCGGGGGGATGGGGACAGACAGACAGGGGGACACGGGGACAGCCGGGGGGATGGGGACAGACACACAGAGAGAGCCAGGGGACACAGGGACAGCCGGGGGGATGGGGACAGACAGACAGGGGGACACGGGGACAGCCGGGGGTACGGGAACAGACACAGAGAGAGCCAGGGGACACAGGGACAGCCGCGGGGATGGGGACAGACAGACAGGGGACACAAGGACAGCCGCGGGACCGGAACAGACACAGAGAGAGCCAGGGGACACAGGGACAGCCGGGGGGATGGGGACAGACAGAGAGAGCCAGGGGACACAGGGACAGCCGGTGGACGGGGACAGACAGACAGGGGGACACAGGGACAGCCGCGGGGATGGTCACACACTCACACACACACTCACACTCACACACACACACACACTCACACACACACTCACACTCACACACATACACAACACATACAGAATCAGGGGTTTTGACATGCAGAGACCCAGCACAGCCCTCCCCAAAATGTGAGTGTGCACCCACACAGCACCTGGGGCCTGGGCAAGGTGTATATCTATATATCACTTCTCTATCTATATAAATGTATAATCTGTATAGCTCTATCTCCAGCTGTATTTATCTGTATATCTCTATATCTGTACTGTAATAGCGTATCTTTATCAATAAGTACATATACAATCTCTGTATCTCTAAATCTCTGTCTAGAGCTATATGTTTATATATTCTATATATCATCCCTATATCTCTATATCTATATGTCTATAATCTATAATTATAACTATATACGTCTATAGATCTCCATATCTACACAGTAATTATGTATCTATCAATAACTAGATATACAATCTCTATAACTCTATCTAGATCTATATATCTATATATATTCTATATATCATCTCTATATCTCTATATATTTATATATCCCTATATAGTTATAGATATCGCTGTCATCTCTATCAATATATTTCTATATCTGTATCAATATATTTCTATATCTGTATCTATGTATCCCCACCCCTACTAAAACATCACACAAATGTGCATATATATATATATATATAAACCACAGAATATAATATATATATATATACACAAACAGAATAAAGAATATATATATATTTATACACACACTGCACATACACAGCAACACCTGTAGGTATAAACACACTCATATATATATGTACATTTATACAAATGTAGAGTACAGAATATATATATACACATAAACACAAATACAGAATATATATATAAATTTATATAAAAATGATATATAAATATATATGTAAATATATATATATATAAAAATATATAAATATATATATCTATACACACACACATATATACATACACACTGTGCCTGTACATACACACAGAGCTATATACACACAGAATATAGAATATATATTTTATATATATAAATATATAAAAATATGTATATTCTATAATATATATTTAATATATATTATATATCTTAATATATTTTATAAATTTTAATATAGAATATAGATATATTTTATATTATAATATATAAATATATATTTATATATATAAATATATAAAAATATATATATAAATATATATAAATATATATGTCTATACACACACAAAAAACTGTGCATGTACACAAAAACACATGCAAAGAGCAGATATATATGTGTATATTTATAAAATATACACAATAATATATAAAATATAATATACATTATTCATACATGATGTATAATATACACAATATGTAATAGAATTTAGGTTATAGAATATAAAATATAGAATATAGAATATATCTGTACAGTGCCAGTACATGTATATGTCCATACATTTATAAATATATTTTTATGTGTGTGTGTATATATATATACATAAATATATACTATATATTATATAATATATACTCTTTATGTATATGTGTCATGTATATTTATATATATTTTTTTATATTTTAAAATGTATATATTTATGTATTTATTTATGTATCTATAGCAGAGTGTACACACCCTCAAGCCTGCAGGAGCAGCAAATATCTGTGCACACACACACCCCTGCAGCTGATCCTGTGCATTCACACCCACACAGACACAAAACACCCGTGTGTGTG